GGGTATTACAGCTGAGTGATGTGCAGCAGGGGACACTTCGAGACGACCGACGTGGCAAATGTGCAGTTCACGCCTGTCTGAGGACTGAGGTCATCATCATCGACAGCATGACATCAGTGTTCAACACTGATGCTTCACTGACGTACAACCATGATTTACTTGAAAGCCTTATTGTAAAGAGTAAAGATGGACGGGGAAGGGACTTAGAGCTAGCTTACCACAATCATTCCGAGGTGCCTAAACCTCCAGACATTCACTCAGGCAGTCTGAATAGAAACTGACAAGAACGCCACTGACATCGGTTGGCAGCCATATCTTGTAGTGTCTACAACCAGGTACAGTGAGGATCACGCGGTCCTCATCCTGGAAGGCGAGTAGCACCGACAGCACCCAAGCGTTTTGTGATCTCTTTCAAACTCCTCTGCCATGTCAAGGGTTGGCCACCTCTCTGTTTACGCCACTCCGAGTTGAGCATGGAAAACAGCACTCTCTTCGGCAAACGATGTTTCGGCATACGCAACACATGTCCCAACCAACGCAGCTTCTGGTGCTGGACACATTCTTCAATGGAAGTACCCGTTACACAACCAAAAACGCGCTTTCTAACTGCCTCGTTACGGATTCGCCGACACCAACCCACACGAGCTATGGTTCTGAGACAACGATTATCGACACCTGAAAAGTGGGGTTCTGCCATAGCACTCAGATAAAAGAAACCTAACCACAAGGTAGCGGTTTTTCGCGTAAGACTGCCAGCGCAGCCCACATTTTTGAGCAGCCAGTCGCCACCCCTACTTATTGACTTATTGATATGGAAGGCAGTCACACGTACACTTCCCAGTACGCCCTTAAATACACAAACCGTCGTAGTCTCTTTGAGAGGCTTTAGATGCTCGAAGCAAACATGCGTAAAAAACGCAGAAAACCACCGATCCGAGTAAAGGTTTCGATTCTACTTGTGGACTGAGCCAACACAATTAAGGTTTACAACATGAGCCGATACGAACGAAAGAGTAGAACAAACTAACAAACGAAGTCCTATATTCTACCCTTACTTGTCCATAAGCGGCTGTTGACAAGTTGTTACGCCGTTGAACCAGTCCAAGTGCAGCATTTTGGTTGCCGACACCCCAGCCTCCGTAATCTGCTGCAATCGATTCATCAGCGTCTCGTGCGTCATAATTCTGCCGCGAGCCTTTTGGAGGAGCGCCCTGAAACGAGTGAAGACAGGATAAAGAAACTCACCTCAAGAAGCTCAGCAATAGCTTGTAGACAATCGACGACCTTATCGAGATCTCCAACCAGCTGGATGACACGGTCAGTCGACCCAGGGCAGAGCATTTGGTATACTTTCAATGTTTGTAAACCCGATTGCTGAGAAGATTTAGATAGATTTGTAGACATACCTCCCGCAGCTCTTTTATCTTATATCCACCACGACCAATGATGCAACCCGCTTGACTCTGATGCACCAGTAATCTCAAATCCACTCCCTCGTCACGATTGTTCTGCATCTGCAGGTATAACTTCAGATCAAACAGGCAGTACCCTTTCCAAATTCTCCACAAATATTTCAAGGACAGAGCCAAGATCTCCATCCAGAACAAGGACCCTTGGAACAAAAACAAACGATTAAAGGGGTAACAATGAGGGGCTTCGGCCGCAATACCTTTCAGGTCCATTGCTATCTGGGATCATAACCTTCACGGAATACTACGAACAGCAACCAGAAAACAAGAACCCACCGGAGAGGGACCGGTTGAATAGCACGCGGGAGATCAGGACGGGACGGGGCGGGACGGGGTAGGGTGGGTTACGAACCATGTATCGGGCAGGTGGCGGGACATTTCGGGCGGGCCAAGAGTGGGAGAAAACCATAATGGATAGAAAGGAACAGAAAATAGGCCAAGGTGTTAGAACTTAGAAAAACCTATCTCCCAAGAAAAAACACCAGAATTCGGGGGAAAAGTAACGTACCTCCTCTCGAATCCGCTGAATATTTTCGCCGCCTTTGCCAATGATAACTCCGGCAGCCTAAAAATGTTGCTGTCTCGGTGATTGAAAGGGAGAAATACCTTGGTCGATATAAGGAACCGTAGCTCTACCTTAGGGCCTTCACCACGCCTCATTTTCTCCGAAATAACGTCTCCCACTGTCAGGCTATACGCCGAACCAGAGCGCACCAAACGGATTCAGACGCGCCACGACCTTCGGCGCCCCAGAGAGTTTAGGCGGGAGTCTGACGTTTGAAACAAAAAGCATAGGAAACGAGGAGACAAGCCGTGACAGCGACTTGCTAGTAGATGATGGTTGCCAATTCTGTTAGACAAGGGATACTGTTATTTTCCGCCTGTCGCTGGAATTTTCATGCGCGTTCTTTGAATTTTGGCAGTTCGGGTATCCGGTGATGGGGCATGCAATCCGTGTACTAGCCAGCATTGTGATTGGTTGGTTGAGGGCGAGTCAGGAAGCGCGCGCGTTCCAAATGCATTTATGCACGAGCCAAGAAAAAACGAATTGAATTTTTAAAGCCCATAAACTAAGGAAAGACGGATTGTCAGCGTAAGCGAGAAAATAGCATGAAACCACTTAAAGAATTTATTCCTGCAAATCTCTGCCTGTCGGTGTGAAATATGCACAATTTTACGAGTATAAAATGAATGAGGAAATTTAACATCTAAAAAGTATCCACGTATCTTACATTGCCCCCCATCGACCTGCCTTCGCACGATCTGTTCCTGACTACCCAAACCACTTCGTCTAATAAAAGCTCGGCAAGAACTCGACATTCTAGTTTTCGGAAATCTCGATTCAAACTTAGCTATAGTCTTGGATATGTATACATATTCAAGACTTTTGCAGTCGGAAGAATAAGTTCATTTCATTTTAGCTAATCATATTTATGCCCCAATAATACTCAGCGAAGGCAGTAATGTCCTGTGAAGGAAAGCCGAAAATAAGCCAAACGACTTCGCCCCGATTTGAACCGCGAACCAAAAGGTACCTGCGCTCAAGCTTATCCCACCTGACCATTGAGCCACGGAAGCCCATTGGTTAAAACCTCTGCTAATCACTAAGGCCCCATTTGGAGTGGTCGTATGTTATGCTATGGATCACGTGACTCGGACCAGCCACTCATTTGCTTCAGTTTGAGTTGCACGTAAATCGAGTTCCCGGTGCTGACGCGCAGTATTTGTGCGATGAAAAGGATTTTTCGAAAGCTATATATCACTGATGTACTGTAACAGACAAGCAATAAAGTTCAGAATACCATTCCGAACTTTTGAGCTTTATCTCGGTATTCCAGGGCCTCAGGGATGCTATAATTTTTTCCACCAGAACTATTCCGCCAGGGGTATGATTGCTGCAGTGCACAGTGAGATTTGGTGTGTTCTGAAAATCTGAACGTTGTTTCGAATGATTTTTGGTCGAGCACATATGCAGTAGTGGCAACATCTTGGCGTAAAAAGCTTGATTCCATTCGCACATGTTTTACAGCCAAGATCATTGAGCGGTCAAAGAGTTCCTCCGGCGTTTGATGCACACAATCAGGGCCCACACCCAAGATCCCCGGGTCGGGTTTGCTTTGGCCGTTCAGAGAACTCCCTTTAACTGAAAGGCACAAGCGAAAAAAGTTGCGCAACACTACCCCTCAAGTTCTCAGCGCTGGACAGTATGCCGTGAGAAACTCTAATGGGGACCAGTGCCGAAGAAGAGTAGATCGCTGAGTTATTGATTCACGGATTGATGCACTGGACTAGGACTTTCTCCCATGCTTCGCGGGTCGGCTTTGTTCTTGTGGTTCAGCGGCTGGCGTTCAGCGGCTGGCACAAGCGAAAAAATGGAGTGGCATTATTCTTCATCTTCTCAGTTAGGGGCAGTAAGATTTCCAGGGTGAGCAGTCGCACTAAAAAGCGTCCAATAGGGCCTTGAACTGGGTACTAGATGTATCGTGAACAACCGTAGGGGGAAGGTTGTTTCACACACCAACTACACGAAATGAGGAAACAAATTTCTCAACTAAATTGCACGCTCTCAGCCTGAAAATCTTCCTACCATATCTCCGCCGTGTTTCCGGTGGGTCGGCGGTGAAGATCCTGTTTGACAAACTTGGTTCATGCAGTGCAAAAGAAGCATGGGTCTCCTCGGAGTCGGCAATATTCCAGGAGAAAGAGACCAAGCTCCGCGAGACGCGTTTCATGGTCCTTAATTTGAAACCGACAAAAATTTTCGTAGCAGCTCGTTAGACAACCTCAATGAAGGCTACGTCCTCCGTGCGTCCTGAGTAGACAGCTGGGTTGGTATATTTAAGAAGAAGTCGGACGTTGGCCTCATAGCGTTCATGAAAATAACATGGGAGAAAGTGGGCCAAACATCCGTAGAACGACGAATGCCTTTTGATCCTATCAACATGATACAGTGAAAAGGACTTTTTTGAAGAAGGCCAAATATCAAGATCCTTTTTGGCAAATGCCCTCGTGATGTCCGCTGGTCCATTCTCACCATGCGCGGCAAAGGCATTCGCTGGGTTGCCTCCAAGTGACATATGGACGCACTTTTCGTCATTATCGAGGAGATACCAGTCCGACAACAACCGGCTTGCAGCGACTAGATTCATTTATGGGGCGCTGGCATTTAGGCTCCAGCAATTCATGTCATGAGTAAAAAGGTAGACATGCATACGAAAGACCCCATGGAGGGTCTCCGACGTAGATCGGAAACAGGAGTGATCCTTGAAGAATTCCACCGCAGATCAGGCCTCGGAGGACAGTAGATAGGAGCTACTTTCATACATAATATTCAATATGATAAGAATGCTTTAATCCGGAGTACAATTTCTTAATGAATCCCACGAGACTCAAACTTGTGGAGCAGTAGAACGTGTGGGACTCGGCCGAATATTTCAGAAAACTCAGAAATTATGGCTGGCGTCAAGCTCTCCATATCAACGAGCATACTCATCAGGCGAGAATCCGTGTTGCACTGGGAATAGCAAGTTGTTTTTGGTGAAGTGGTCCATGATGGTCCGCTCCGGAATGCGCTCTATCACCTTGCACGAACGCTTGTGGGGCTTATAGACCTGTGACTACCGGAATATAATCGACCACCGGTTTTGTAGATTCGCGTGACCATTGATTCCTTCCAAGCGGATAGGAGGCTGCCTACGTTGATCGACCGACAGAACGTCAGGCGAAAATACTGTGACAGCGTGGGTGTCGTGAACCTCATGATCTTTGAATGGACATAGTTCGGCCTCAACGGGCAAGAGGAGGCAAACACACCGCTCTGCGAAGACCAAGTTGGTTGGTCGCCATACGTAGTTGTCTTGCGAAGACTGGACTTGACGCGGTCCCTTGCACAGAACACGGGACTGCATGAGGAGGCAAACACACCGCTCTGCGAAGACCGAGTTGGTTGGTCGCCATACGTAGTTGTCCTGCGAAGACTGGACGTGACGCGGTCCCTCGCACAGAACACGGGACTGCATATTATTCTCTCCATATCCTCTGAACGCTTTATTTACCACTATTAGGTCGCCCATGGGTTCTGCATCTTTCCCCAAGGAGAAAGCGTTGGCTTGCTTCTTCATCGGTATTATTTACTTAAAAAGGGCACTTTTTAATTTCCAGCCGGTTTCTAGTATCTGGGGTTGTTTCGATTGGTGGATTTCTGAGTAACGGCACTAACGAATCTTACAAGATGCCGGCTCATCTTATGCGTCTCCCGTAGTTATATTTTTGAAGAATAGTTGGGGCCTTTCTTCCGATGGGCGCCCTATCCTTTTGGGTAACCTTCGGTCTGCTCAACTGTGCACATGTTTCTTCCACTCGCAAACCGAGTCGAACACGTGGCATTTCTGAACAACGGTTCTCTATTTCTCTTCTGCCGAATATGGTCCCGATTTAAGTTGGCCAATGAAGATATGGACCACTGAGTGGTCTGTAGGGCGGAAGTTTTGACTGCATGATTGGGATTGAGGGTTCCTAGTCCAGTAGCAGATTAAATCAAAGTTTAGCACGCAGTAGCCACCATACCTTGGTGGAGCACTTGATCAGCGAAGCATCTTCTGTTGGTGATAACCAGATCCAGTAGCTATATTTGGCCTCTATGGTGTCTGGTGGCTGCGACGGCATAATGAGCTCAAGCGCCCTGCTGACAAACTTGGATCGTCACCGATATTAGTTGTCCACCACGCGCTCAAGAAACATCCACGAGGCCTTTGAGGTGATAAGATCGATCGATTGCAGGGGGTATGTAAGGGGCTAGCTGGGGCATGGTTTTATAAGGAGCAGTCATCTTCTGTTGGGCCCGAAGACAAATGCTGATCAACACTGAAAACATGGTAATCCTTCCAACGTGGTATTCCTCTCAGACAAATCATTCCGAGTGAGAATAGGGCCGACCCACTCTTCTCAAGGGCCGGTTTTCATTGGAGTTCCTCAGGGCTCCGTCCTGGGACCAGTGTCGTTTCCGAGCTACGTCGACGACCTCCCAAATGTTTTTGTAAGGCCATGTATACTTTTTGCGGACGACTTGAAATCCTGGAGTTTCAATGCCAGTGCCCTCCAAATGAATGTAGACACTGCCAAGCAGTGGTCGTTGGACTGGCACATTCCTCTGAATGATGAAAAGTGCGTCCATATGTCGTTTGGAGGGGATCCAGCGAATGCCTTTGTTATGCGTGGTGAGAAAGGGCCAGAAAACATCATAAGGATAGATGCCAAAAAGGATTTGGGCATCTGGGTCTCCTCAAATTTGTCCTTCTCACTACACCGCCAGAAATCGGCTCAAAATGCATTCGCCATTCTACAGATGATCCGACGCACCTTCTCCCGTATTACTCGCATGGACTTCCAAACACTCTATAGGGCCTACGTTAGACCGCTCTGGAACACGCCAACCAATTTGTCTATCCAGGACTCACGAAAGACGTCACCCTCATTGAG